CTCCCAGCCCAGCCACGATGGGGGACAAGGGCCCCGTGCCTTCACCCCCGGGTCCTGGCCGGCCACCGTGCGCAGGAGAGGGTGGTGGAGCTGCCAGCCATGACCCCCCGGACCCCGAGCTGCCCTTTGCCTGGCCTGATCCGGGTTCCCCCTTCATGGGAGGGGGGCAGGAGGGTGCCAGCCCAGCCCCCCCCAAACCAGGCGGGGGTACAGACAAATACTTTATTGATTCCACGGCCTGAGAATGGGATCTGGGATTTCACAGGAAACGTTGGTCCCAGTCACAGCAGCTTTAAAACAAAGGCCCTGAGGGAGAGGCCAGCCCCTCCACTCCACCCTGGCCGGCTGAGGAGGCACTGCCTGCCCGCAACGCCATCACGCCAGCCCGCTCCTCCCCTGCGTCACTGGGATCAACTGGGGGGCACTGGGAGCTCTAACAGGGCCAGGACAACGGGCTTGGTCTGTACAGCTGGAGCCCGGCTCGCTGCCGGACCCACCCTTGACGCGGCAGCATCAGCTGTCCCCAAATCCTGCAGGGCTTGGGACAGGCAGCGCCACCCCTCCAGGGACACGGGGCCGACCCCTCTGCCCCCGTCCCCCCCTCCTGGCTAACGCTACAGCCCAGGCACACCCGCCGTCCCAGGGGAAAAGGAAACGAGTGACAAACTGGCCCCGAGGAGCAGCAGGGTGTCATGTGTGTGTGTGTGTCCCCAGGGCCGTCCCTCCTGTGGGGCAGGGGGTGGCCGGGCGCCGCTCAGCGCCAGGGATCAGGCCAGGATGCGTGAGGGGCGTCCCCTCAGTGCCCGCAGCAGCCCCCCCGCAGCCTGGCACGACAAATCTGACAAGCAAAGGGGTTCCCCGCGCTCGTTCCCTGCCTGGAGAGGGACAGAGGCTCAGTGGCGTCAAATAATTAAATCAAACAACTCAAGGAAAAACAAAAAAAACCTCCAAACCACAAAACAAAATGCAAGACCCCCAGTGCCCGCTCCGTTTGCTCCGCAGGGTGCCGCCCCCAGGGCCCATTTCCAGTCTCTGTGCAGGATCTGTGCTTCCCCGCAGCGCGGGGCAGGGCTCCGGCCGGGGACACGCGGGGTTCGAGTGACTCCTGGGGACGCCGGAGCCACGCCTGGGCTGGCCTCCGCGGCTCTCCGGGCAGGTCGGCCTCCAGGAGGTGGCCCAG